CTGTACACGTGGGGACAAAGCTTCTGAAACAGCCCCGGGGGCACCCTACCCACTAGTCCCTCCCACCTGGCACCTTCCTTCACAGAAGACAAGCCCTTAGGGGCCTCCTACACCCCCCGGGAGGTGTGTTCAGCGCCATTTGACCACAGCGACCACGGAGGCCCAGAGCGGAGAGGCAAATCGCCCAGAGTCACACAGCCAAGGTGAAGATGCCAGCCCAGGACCTGCTAACTGCCCACCCAAAGCTACGTCACCCGAGTTCCTGCTGGTTCCCTCTGACCCCTGGCATGAGTGAGGGATCCTGGTGCCCCGCACCCCACTCCTCCCCAGAGGAAAATCCCCCTGACGACGAAGGGGGCAGGCCCTTAGCTTCTTCTACTGATGGCAGCCCAGGCCTCAGGTTCCCCAGTCCCACCCTGGCACCTGGTCTGTACCTGGTGTAAGTCCCTGTGGTGCTGAGTCCTCGTTACTCCACTCTGGTCCACAACTGGGTGCACCACCAGACAGCTATCCAGCAGGATACTGTGACCCAGGGGCAGGAGGAAAGACTAGAGTTAGAGGTGATAATGACCTCCGGAGTCCGGCTGAGTGGCAGGTTCTGGGCCAGGGGCAGGAGCCACGGGGAGGCCCAAGAAAAGGCCCTCCCTCCCAGAAGGCTCCCAGCCCCAGGGGCAGCAGACCAAGACCCCGCTAAACTGCCAGCCAGGGTGCGACAGAGGACACACCACAATCCCGCCAATCAGGGAAGGCTTCCCAGAGGAGGTGGCTGACCTTGAGGGGCCAAGAGGGAAGACACAGAGAAATGAACGTGCCCGGCTGAAAACACACATCAGATGGCTCCACGCCACGCAACACTCAAGCCGCCTGCTCCTCTCTGTTCCATGCAGGGTGATCAGAGTCCCTGCGGGACTGCTGAGGGAGGCAGATGGGCCAGTGGGCAGGCGTCCCTGAGGGAGGCCCTGGGCATGGGGTCACAGCAGCAGAGCACCTGCGCTCATCAGCCTGGGCAGGCCTGGCGTGGCCTCTGATTTTGAGAGGAATCTGAAACTCGGGGTTCTTTAGGTGAAATCTCCCCTTCATCAGAGGTGGGCGATTGACTCAGATGAAGATGCATATGCAAACACATCATCTTTGGAAGCACCTGTCTCCAGGCTAAGCTGGGCCCTGGCAGGCCTGTGTGGGGCCTCTGGGTGAAAGGGTGGCACAGACCCAGGGGATCATCTCATTTCTGCAGTTTGAATTAAATCCACCTTCCAGGTGCAGCCGGGGGAGAAAGCCAGTCCACAGTCTCCCTGTCCACCCCCAAGCCTAGCCCTCATCACAAGCATACACACCCCACCCAGAGGGCCGGGGAGGGGGGGAGGCAGGGATCTGGGCTACCCCGGATGGTGGGGTGCCAGCAACCCCAGAAGCCAGAAGGGGTGACCTAGGAACCCCAGCAGCATGCACAGGGCCAGGCACGGAGCCCACAGCATCGCCCTCAGCGTCTCCCAAACACGCCTGCCAACCTGGGCCCACTCCAGCTTAGAAAACAAAGTCCCCCAGTGGCCAGGGGGGGCTGTCCCCTCACAATGGTAATTGGAGGCCTAGCTGAGAAGGTCTTTGGTGTGTCTGACCCCAAAGCCACGTTCTTGGTTGAAACTGCATTTTGGAGGGTGACGTGGTTACATTGACTTTGGTTTAGATTTTGGGTCCTTGCTGTTAGCTCCCAAGTCCTGGGGGACCCTCCACAACCAGGCCGGCCACCTGGATCCACGGGGTCATGACTGGCTGGCCTTTCAGACATAGATTGACAGGCCTTTCTTAAAACATGTTCAGGCCATGTGACAGGCAAGCATCCAGAGATTCATCACTACGACACTCACAGGTTGTGCCCTGACCAGCCCCCTCCACCCCTGTGTCCGAAGGTCCCCAGGCCCCCCCACCACCTGGTGACATGGAGCAGGAAGGCAGGTGTCTGGGTGCCCCAAATACCCAACTCACCCCGCTACCCCACTGCTCTTGAGATACTTCCACTGTGAGGGCCCCCCAATTCTCAGAGCAACACTTGGCCTGGCCCAGGAGGAACCAGATCTCCTTAAAGAAGTCTAGGTCACCGAAGCAGGGCCCCAGGCACCAAGACCTCCCAGAACCCCTACGATCATTAAAAAAATAAGTTAAAAATCTCATTTTAGGGGTGCATTCATATGAAGATTAACACTAATATCATATTTTAGAAGTAATCTCATCACTCTAAACATGGATGTTTTCATTAAGAGTGAAGCATTTGGGGGGAGGGGGGA